CACTCTCCATAGTAATACTGCCTTTATCTAGCTGTTCCTGAGAGTTTTCAAGTTAAACTTTATTCTTAAAATATCAATGTTTCTAAAAGTAGGTTATACACATCTCTACTATTTTAAAATAAAACATCTGTTTCTTGATGCAATTTAGGTCAATTATTTTACCCTGAAACTACTAAAATGCATAGGGACATTTGAGTATCTGGGTCCAAATTAAGTGGTCTTGGGCAGCTGCAAGTTTAGAGTTCCTCTGTTAATGACTTACAGTTTTTATGGCCTTGGCCTTGCCTTCATTTAGTATGCTGCCACTTCTTAATGGAGCTATGACTTCTTGAAGCAATAACCACCCTCTTTTTAACTGCTGCTAGGGTTGACTGTGGTTTGGAAAACCAGGCATCTTTGTTTGTTAGGACTGTTTTTGTAAAAAAAAAAAAAAAAAAAAAAAAAAAAAAAAAAAAAGGTGAACTGTTTATAGATGGGGGACTAAAAAAATAATGAAGTGGGGAGGGAAAATTAAACAATAATTTTGCCAGGCTGGGCCCAGGTTAGCTTATCTGCAGGTTCTGAGCTGAACTGAGATTATTGCATAAAAGACTCCAGTTGAGTAAAGTACTCCTGTTCCTTTTCTATTTTACTCATCGGCTAACTAATCAAGTGCTGGTTGTTGTTGTTTTTTGATACATATGAATTTGTTTACAGATCAACTGATATATGTCTATGCATATAGAAAGTTTATTAAAATGACACTAGTCACCAAAAGAAAAAGAAAAACTTACTTCACCAATACAAGAGCTGTATAATAATGTTAATTATCATGTGTGTCCACTGATTTATATATTCAAGCGTAGAAAATTATTAAAATAACAATAGTCATTAAAAGAAAATAAAAAGCCCTTTTCACACAATACAGAAACTATAATAGTGACAACCTGTTAAGGACTCACTCACCTTTAGTAGTCTAGGCCAGTGGTCAGCAAACTCATTAGTTAAAGGAACCAAATATCAACAGAACAACAATTAAAATTTCTTTTGAGAGACAAATTTTTTCAACTTAAGCTTCTGCTAATGCCACTTCTTCAAAATAGACTCTCCCAGGCCGTGGTATTTTGTGGAAGAGCCACACTCAAGGGGCCAAAGAGCTGCATGTGGCTCTTGAGCCACAGTTTGCCGACCACAGATCTAGGCTATGTGCATTCATACAAGTTAACTGTGTTTAGGATTTTAGTCAACTGTGCACGTGTTAAGAACCACTATAAACCCAAACAGAATTTTGTAACTTTTTCTTTCCAAGCATTTTCATATTTTATAATAGCTTTTTACATGAGCAGATTATTAACACATGTGTTTGACTAATAAATCTAGATTTCCCCCTAAACACATAATTCTGATAAAAATCTAACAAGAAATAAAAGAAGAAAGGAAGTAAATAAGAAAGAAACATCTTTTATGTGCATAGTAATATTTTCTTCAAGCTAAAGACAGAAAACACATGGTAATTTGCATAGCTTCCATAAAATTATTCTAATTATATCCTATTCTTCTTACCTGTGACTTATCCAAAGGAAAATTCAACTCCAAGCTGTCTTTCTGTGACCTTGAAAGCCTGTGACCCTGAAGCTTTTCTGGTAGTATGACGTGTTTCCAAAAATTATAAGCTATGTTTATTATGATTCTTAAAATAACAGAAGAAATACATGAACAAAATACCATCAGATTACCTGCTTTTTTGAATTCCCTTTACCAATGTTACTACTGTGTTTCCCCGAAAATAAGACATCCTCCGAAAATAAGACCTAGCGCATGGAAAGATAAGACATCCCCCTGAAAATAAGACCTAGTGCAACTTTGGGAGAAAAAATTAATATAAGACACTGTCTTATTTTTGGAGAAACAGGGTATTTATTAGGACAGATAAATGGGAATTAGCTTTGGTAAAAGCCTTTCTGCATTTGTCTATATTATAAGAACCCCTGAAAAATATATATTAAACAGACACGAAATCAGAGAGTACAGTCTGGAATGAAATTCTTACATTCTACAGGAAAATTTGCCTTGGAGTATAAAAAAATGAATCAGGTATTTCCCTTGAGGCTCATTCTGAGTGCACATTTTGTTCTAAGCTCTGTTTGCTTTTTGCAACAGCATTTAAGAGAAAATCAACTGACCATTTACAACCCAAACAATGGCTTTAGAGCAGCACCATTAAGGACCGCACCTGGCCAGTCTCAAACAACACTTCTGTTTAACCTGGTGACTTTCCTGTGTCTGGGGTCAGGCAGGAGCAATCTTGGTTGAGGGGAAGGAAAGAAGAGCAAAATTTGTTCTCGACTCACTGAGAACAAAACAGCTACACCAACTATGCTTTGTAATTACAACTGTTTCAACAGTTGCTGGTAGGCAAGGCTGTCATTTAAGTGACCCACTATAATTTGGGACAAAGCCCCCGGAAATTATGGCACTTCTGAACAGGAGTGCATTTCTGAGTTTACTGAGCATAATATGCCCACTGAAATGCAGAGTAGTCCTTCTTTGGTATACATTTACATCAAGGGAAACATTAGCAATAAAAGGAATTTAGCTAGAGAGGGAAAGAATTCGTTTGGGAGCAGACCATAGTTTATTTTACTTTTGTGTCTTTTTCATTATGCACTATTTCAATCATGAAATATAGAAAATATACAGGAAATAGAACCATTAGCCCACAAACTCATCATTCAGTTTCAATAATCAACATTTGGCCGATTTTATTTTACTCTACCCTACCCACTCCCCTCCTTGAATTCTTTTTGAAAACAAATCCAACACAGCCTATATTTTATTTTACACAAGCTTTAATTTATGATATATGTACACATTCAACTTAAAGATCACTCCACAAATCTTATTAAGCATGGCATGTTTTAACCAACTTTAACCACCCCTTTAAATGTTTTACACTAAAACCTATCTGCCTAGAAAACTAATTTGTTTGAATATAATTGGTTAATTAAAAGGACAAAGAAACTTGAATTGTAACCCTCTATTATTTTACTTACAGGGAAGGAGAGAGGTTGAGAAAATAGTGCATATTATGCAGTCCCTGTGATTTTTATCTTTGTGGACACTGATCAACTAGAGACGAGGTTAAAAGTAATACAGTTGAACTTGTCTGGATGGAGCTTAGAAAAATGGGAGGAGGCTACTGAGGGGCAGGAGAGCTGCCTAGCAGGAAACTTTTCCCTTTTCCTTCACCACACAGACAGAATAAATAGAATGCCAACAGGCCAACCCCAGAAGCTTCAAAAATCACTCATAGGCAGTCCAGTTACTTATAATAATTTATTACAGATCTTAAAGCAAAGATCAAAAGGAATTCCATCTAGCATTTATTTTCAATTCCTCATTGACTGATGACTAATTTGTAGAGGAATGAAGTCTTCACAAGGGAAGCCAAAATAATCTGAGGTGACTTTGATACAATGCCACAAAGGATATGAAGAGGAAGCCGGTAGAAGCTGCAAATGGCCAAGTTCCATTAAGAGTTCTAATAAAAGAATAATGGAATTTCCCTTAACTGTGAATTAAAAAATGTTAGAAGTGGGCAAAATTTAGTCAAGCCAGGCAAAACATTTGTCACAGCCTTTGGTTGTTAAATGTTAACTTTAGCCACTGTTGCATTTATGTTCATCACATGGTAACATCTAAAAAAAAAAAAAATGCAACTTTTCCATCAGAAATCTGGCCAATCACATTCCTTTTGCTTTTGTATATTACTTATCAGCCTGCACCTTTCACCTGCATTGTGAGATACTATGCGCTCTCTCAATCTCTTTCAAACAAATGGCCATATTCTGCAAACTGATTGATTTAACTCCAAAAAACCAACTTGAAATGATATATTTTTTTAGTCATGTATATAGCTATAGTCACATGGAGGAGAATAAACATTTCTTTTAAAAAATTTTGGTGCTTAAGTCAAATTGATCATGATAGAAACACTAGAAGCTATTCAAATTCTTTCAACTTCTATGAACAACTGGCATGATTTTTCCCTCCTGAATCCAGACATCTTCATATTCAGAGCTGAGGAAAGTGGTTTTCACACTACTTATTTTGGCTAGTTAAAAAATCCCCACCACATGTCTCCCTGCAAATTCATAGATAAAGATTTAAGTTTATATTAGCAATTCGACTGTGCAAATTTTTGTTTGCTTCTGAAGTCACCTCAAATTAACAGATTTACTGGAATCTTAGGTGATAAAGAAGTTTTACACAACTCTGAGAAATCTCGCAATGTATTTCCCTATGAAGATGTGATATTGAGCATTTTCTTTAAAAACAGTTATACGTGTGTGTGTGTGTGTGTGTGTTTTTTTTAAAGAGTCTGTATCTTTTACAAATACAGTGAAATACTTATAAGTAAAAGGATGTCTGGGAATTCTTTAAATACAGCAGTAGAGAACCAGGGGTATTAAATAATCAAAGCAGGCCATGGGTACATAAAGCTATGGGACAGATATATAGGGGTCTCTACACTATTTGGTCTTCTATGTAGCAAAACTATTGGCAGTGGCTATTTTACATATAATGCTATCACTGCTTTTCATTAGGGTTTTTATTCAGAAAATAACTTTCTATCAGGAGCAATGGAGAACCAAGAATCGGCAGTTAATATTTCAACTATCTGTACCAATAAAAAAGCCAAGTCCATTGCTACATTGTTTAGTAAGAAAACAAACAAACAAACAAACAACAACAAAAAACACACCCAAACCTGTTTTTGCAGTCTCTGAAATTTCAGTGACAATATGTAACTAGATTTTAATGTGAATAAAATACAACTATTTTAGTTCAAAATACAAATTTTCTGGTTTCTTTTAAAGACATAGAGTTGGAAATTAAGATAGAAATAGAAATGGAACTGGTAAGTGTACTTTAAAATCACTACATACCAGGGGACATTGTGTCATACATTCAGAAAGACTTCTCTACCACCCAGTACGCTAATCACGTACATCACTTACCTTGTGATCATACGGACTGTAAGAGTGAAATACGCGAGAAAGATCTTTTGTTCTTTGCTTTTTCTGTGGAAGAAAACACAGACATCTGAGTTGATAGGTGGCAAAATATATATGTGCAAATGCATCTATATGTACATCTACTCTCCATATTTATTTCTCTGTCTATCTACATTAAGATAATGTGCACTGAGATATTCTTCCTTGTGCAAGGTGAGGGGCTCCAGTGTCAACAGGGGAGGGGACATGTGGATGAAATTAGAAACCAAAGCCACTTGATGGTTATTTGGGTCATGGTCACAGACCAGCCAGGCCACTTCTTAGAAGGTTGCATAATTACAACATTAATCATCAAAAACTCTATTTATGGACACATAACTTAGAGACTAAAATGAAAAAAAAAAAAAAAGGAAAGAGATCTCTGAATTTCATTGTAATATCAACTGCTGTTACTCTAAATCAGGCACTTATGTTGTCTATTTAAACAATATACCTCCTTCAGGCCCCAGGTCACAGCTTGGGTCTGTCTGCTTGAGGTCATCTTTATTCTGTCACTGTTATTTAGTTCAGATGCCTTGCATGGGTTTCTCATTAATTTAACAAATCTATATTAAGTGCCTGAAATTGGAACTTCTTTCCTGCAATTCATTTCAATTTTTAAATATAATTATTATCTTTACACAAATATCTGCCAGACTGAGAGTGAAAGTTTTTCTTTTCCATTTATCCTCAATTGAAGCTATCTAATTTTTTCTATTGATTTTTAAAAAGAGTGGAAAGGAGGAAGGGGGAGAGAGACAGGGAGAAAGAGAGGTGGGGGAGAGAGAAAGAGAAGAAGAAGAAGAAGAAGAAGAAGAAGAAGAAGAAGAAGAAGAAGAAGAAGAAGAAGAAGAGGAGGAGGAGGAGGAGGAGGAGGAGGAGGAGGAGGAGGAGGAGGAGGAGGAGGAGGAGGAGGAGGAGGAGGAGGAGGTGGAGGAGGAGGAGGAGGAGGAGGAGGAGGAGGAGGAGGAGGAGGAGGAAGAGGAAGAGGAAGAAGAAGAAGAAGAAGAAGAAGAAGAAGAAGAAGAAGAAGAAGAAGAAGAAGAGGAGGAGGAAGAAGAAGAAGAAGAAAGAGAGAGAGAGAGAAACATGGATGTGATAGAGATACATGAATGAGTTGCCTCCTGCACATGCCCCGACCCAGGCTGGGATTGGGCCTGCAACTCAGGTACCTACCAGGTACCTAGCAGGAATTCTTGGGGCAATGCACTAACCACTAAATAAACTGGCCAGGGCATGAGAGTGGAAGGTTTTTTTTTTAATGAATATTTTATTGTGTGGTTTGTTTTTTTTTTGTTTGTTTTTTTTGTTTTTACAGAGAGAAAGGGATACAGAGTTAGAAAAATCAATGAAGAGAAACATCGATCAACTGCCTTCTGTACACCCCCTACTGAGGATGTGCCCTCAACCAAGGTACATGCCTTTGACCGGAATTGAACTTGGGACTCTTCAGTCCACAGGCCGACAATCTAGCCACTAAGCCAAACCGGTTAGACTAAGTGGAAGATTTTTAAAGGATAAATTATGAAAATCCAGTTGCAGGATCAAATAGTATGCACGTTTATTACATTGATAGATACAGCCCTCCTGCTCCCTTCCCCAAAACACTGTACCAATTTGCCTTCTCACACAGAGTGAATGAGAGGAAATTAAAGCTTAAGTTTGAAATTCTTAATTTCTCTTTTCCATTTAAAGGTTGTAACATTTCTAAATTCACAGAACAGATAAAACATTTTTAAAACAGATATTGAGCATCTTCACAGGTGCCTATTATAGAATTTATTTCTTGAATATCATAGAGTTAGACACTACCACACACTAACATTCCGTCACGAGATTGTTCAGTTTGCCCTTAAGTCTATCCCTGTGTTGCTTCTGGTTTTACTTTGTTGATTTTAATTCCACTACCAGGTAAATGAGTTCTATCTTCACTTGCCCGAAACCCGTTTCCTAGGAAAGTATTTCCTTCCTTTAAATTTTAGTGTCTTCTTGAGTGTGTCTGTGATCCCTCCCCAGTGCCAGGGAGTTAAGCAGATCTCCTAGGTTCCACAGGATCTTCTGCAGCCACTTGGCTAAGTATTCAAGTCTGCTATTAATTAAGACCTTGTATTAGAGTCATTTGTACACACTCATGGTTTTCCCATAGGTTTGTTTCCCTATTTTAAAACTGTGTTTGGAGCCACAACTCCCCTTGACAGTCTATCCGATCACTTTGGCCTTGTTTCCACATTCTGAGACCCACTAAGCATTATCCTCCCTGCTACTCAGCCAGAATTCCCCCCTCCTCTGGTCTGTCTCTCAGGTGTGCTTCTGAGCATCACACTCTAAAGTAATTTAACATTCCTTTTCCCCAGACAGCAGAGATGAATCTTTAACTGATCGGAAACACCCCTTTGGCTCTATGAGCCCTGGAATCTGTTCTGAACAGGTCACTCGACACCAAAGTTTTCATTAGATTATAATATTCGCAGAAGAAAAATGACGGATACTAACACTTCCTTTGGTAAGAAACTTAAAACATGGGGATTTTTTTTTTCTTCCATTAAGGAAATTATGCTAGAGAAGATAAACTAGGGAGCAAAGAAGTTTTAAACTTAAGAAGTGTCCCCAGGTCTGTTCAGTTCCAACAATGGTGTGCTACCAGCTTGAGTTGGCAATGGATACGGAATATTCAGAGTTTGTTTTGTGTACCTTTGTTTGTGAGTTTTGAATTATTTTGATAGCTAAACATGCATTTTATTAGAAGCTACCTCTAATTATTATGGGAAGGAAATGAGGTATTTTTATAAATAAACACACTATTCAGATTAGCCCCCAAAGAAGCCAGAGAAGAAAGAATGTTCCTTTTTCTGACAACAAATTTATTATATACAATACAGTGAAGTCTTGGCTCTGAATATTGAAGGTTATATGTATTAGTCCAGTTTATTGAAAATTACTGCTCTTTTTTCCTGTGATGTCAGAATCATATATCCCAGTGGCATATCTTCTGGGATCCAGAAGAGAGGTTTACAAATGATGGTCCATGGGCCAATCCAGCCCACCACCTGTTTCTGTAAATACAGTTTTATTGATACATAGCCACAGACATTCAGTTATGTATTATCTATGAACTAGAGATCATGCATCAGTGGGGTCCCTCGGCGTGGCCTGCGGGATTAGGCCAAAGTCAGCTCTCTGACATCCCCTGCGGTGTACCAGATTGCAAGAAGGGTACCAGATTGCAGGCCAAGCTGAGGAACCTACTGGTGCACAATCAAAGCCAGGGAGGGATACAGGAGGTTAGCCAGCCAGGAAGGGATCATGGGAGGGGTCCTGGGCATGTCCCGCCTGTCTTGCTCAGTCCTGATTGGCCCGACCCTAGTAGCAAGCTAACCTACCTGTGGCAGCATATTCCCCCTGGTGGTCAGTGCACATCATAGTGAGCAGTGGAGTGGCCTTAGCACATCATTAGCATATTACTCTTTGATTGGTTGAACAGATAATCGGATGATCAGACACTTAGCTTATTAGGCTTTTATAATATAGGAAGCTTTCATTCTAGAACAGCAGAGTTGAGTGGTTACAACAGAGACTGTATGACTCATAAATGCTAAAGTATTTACTATCTAGCCCCTTACAGGAAAAGTTAGCCATCCCTCATCTTGAATGTCTATCTTTGACCATGTCTATGTCTGCTGGAAAGCTCCCCAAACCAAGTGAACAACTAATTATCCAGTAAAATTCCTTGTTCTTTTTAATTGCTTAATGAAGACAGTTCAAGAAACAATCAAAACCTATATCCTGACACATCAAGATGAACAACCAGCAAAATAATCATTAGCTGTCTTGTTTTCAGGATTTTGCCTTCTGAGCATTCTATATTCAGACAGAAAACATAAGTTGGTTGGTGTTTACAGCAAGCTGAAACAGATATGGGACTTTCAGAGCCCTCTGTATTCACATTTTAACTGCTAAAGACAGATACTCTGAAAGGAGACCCTTTACTAAGTTCTAGCACTAAAGCCACATAGAGGGTTTCACGTACAAATAACTATATAGTGACCCTTATTGCTAGTGAGCCAGTTTCTCATATGAAGACAACGTTAAGTCTTCTATGCAACAAAATAGGCTTGTTGAGCCTTGCCAGTTTTAACTGAAACCAAAAGCTGAGCCAAAAACAGAGTAATTAGGTATTTTCCTATTGCATCATAGTATGTCTAAATTACCTCCCACTTTTTACCTGTTAAAACAAACAGCTCAGTCATGCAACCACCTGCTAATTCTCCAAGTGTTTAAAAAGTAAACATGTTAAACAAGTTATGTGATGAACCCGTAACGAGGGTGGCCAAAGTACAGTGAGTACATCAGACATCCCTCCCAGAACCGACTGAGGCTCCTTCAAGTCACCTTGGTCATCAGTCCCCAGGCCACAGAGATGAGAGCTCATTAAAAAGCAACTACATGCCAAGTCCTGAAGTTATGTGGGTTGCAGTTTGGTTTAACAGATGGGGCAGTATGCAAATTTGGTGAAACTTTTAGATTTCTGACAACCTAACCCTCTACAGATCTCCATCCTACAGGTACTTCCTCAATTGCTTTCGTACTTCACTCCTCAAGGACAGAGCACATGGATGACTCCTTTTATACCCATGTTTATACTCCTTTTTGAGACAAACCTAAACAAAACTAAAGGCCCCAGTCAATGGAGCAGTTCTAATAGTCCAGGGTTCCAGACTTTTAATCAAAGGTATGCATATCTAGATCTGAATAAAGGTTCTGCATGTGATGAGGATAGACATTTTGAAGATGAGGTTATACCATCAATTAAATTATAACAATATCCACCAATTTAATGTCTCCTGGTTCCCCAAACTAATTCATTGCTTTCTGTGCTCATTCTCTACTTGTAGATTAAAGCTTCTCAAATAAAATAAAATAAATAGCATTATAAGGCAAAATGATAACACTATGGACTTCATTTCTACATATGGATTCTCAAAAAGTGATAAAACCTACATATGAGCTTTCAGAGAGTTTGATATGCT